GTATATATTTACGCCTACAGTAGTAAAATGATATGCCTGTTATATGTATTGACTTACAGTTAAGTCAATGACACCTCCTCAGTAACCCAGGCCATGAAATATAAAAAATTATAAATGCATACATATAGTATGTACATGCTTACCTTACAAGAATATTTGTTGGTATTATGTATTCTGTGGTAAGTTATTCAAGTTATTATGTGTGTGTCCGTATATATATATCTTTTGGATATTTTATTTCAGAAGTAATACTGCTTAGAGACTGGCAAACATAAATGCATGTATAGGATTGAGGGTGAACAAAGTTTGTGTGTGTGCATTTCTTTCTGTCTTTTTAACAAGTAGATGTAATAACATTTTATTGGATTACATACACAAAGTTTGGTATGACCTTCTAAAAAATTCTAAAAGTTCATCATGTACATGTACTACTTGACATGTGGTACTAGGAAAACTAGTGTTTAGCAGATACATTTTCACTGTACTTACACATGATATGTAACAAACACTAGGAGGGGTGTTTCATGTAATATATAGAATGTGTTCTGTAAATATGTAATACATGCAGTTTGAAAGAGTGAATATTTGAACTCGATTAGTCAAGTACTCTATTTTGCACTTCTTAAAAAATACATGTGTAATTAGTAAATCTGAAAAACTAATAGCTTTTTTATTTATAAGGACTTGGAAAGTGATTGTACATATTAACTATGACACTATTATATATTCAGGAATATGTGCATAGTTGTAGTAGTTTACCAGAATAACACATTTATTTTCACTGTCATCATATGATTAAAAAAAAAATGCAATTCATCAGACATGTGAACTGTCTACACAAGCAGGAATAATAAATCAATGAAAACATGCTCTTGAAAATGTTTTACCAAATTAGGCAGTATCACTTCAATACTTTTCTATTTTTTTTCTTTTTAAATACATAGTCCTTAATTTTGTAATCTTTAACTGTCAGGATTTTGTTACTATGACCTGATTGGTAAAATTTGTCAGAATGGAACTTGCATCCTTTTTTCTAAGCAATTATCAAGGTTAATCATGCACTAGATAAGGTTTTAGAGACAATACTTACAGTGTGTATTTACAGAGTAGGTGTACACGATATGTTTGTGTAATAAATGTTTAACCTTGTAAAGGGCTTAAATGAATCATTGCATACATTATTTACTTTATTGCATTTTATTTCTAAAATTAGAATAGTATCAACTACTGTAACCTTAAAATTTATAATCATTATAATTATTTACTTGCATTTTATTTCATGAACGTCTTGAATTTACAGGATTCATTGAGACAAACTTCACTTCTTTCACTGTAACTTCATGATTTTAAAGGACACTGAACATTGAATCTATTTCCATGGCACTTTGAATTTGACTTCTTTTTTTATGCTGTGTTGCAACACTTGTCATGTACTCTGCTCATTGATGGGACTATTCTTTTGCAATACTGAGTGATATTCAGGTAATAGGATTTATTCCCTTTTTAGTGGACCAAATGGCTGATATATTATTACTCGTGCTTGACTTGTACATATTCCTAAGATCCATTAATCAAAAATCATTTGGTTCACATTCAAATTCCTTAGGCCTTTTTCTTAGAAGCATATAATACTGCATGTGTTTGGCTTCTTCAAAAAATTTTCCTGTCTAAACTCTCATGTCAGATCCTGTTCTCAGTAAGTTTGCTTCCATGAACATGTGAACCTTTACTTGCTTTTATGTTTACACTAACTCTGAATATCCTTCTTGAGCTTGGTCTCTTGATTGTTTTCTTTCTTACTTGTTTTGTGCATTCTCTGATTTCATACCATATCTACCATCCTCATGGCCTGCTCGAGTGTGCCGAGTTTCTGGTGTTAAGAATTTTTAGCTAAAGTTCTCTGGTTGACTAGTGCCTCTGCATTTTCACTCATTCGCAAGTGTTTAGTGTATTGTATTGTTCCATATTTGATAGAGTTTAATTATTTTGAAAGAATACAAACCTCTTTTACTAAACATTGTTTTATTT